CCACAGGTCTGTCTTTTCCTTATTCATTAAACAAAATCGTTTTTGTGTTATATTAATGCAATTGATATGTGATTTTAATTTACATGATACACAAGTCAGAAATACGCGATTCATGATTAATTTCTTGCAGTTATTACATTTATTCGAGTTACTCATTTTGTTGTTTCTATGTTTTACGCCCTCTATCGTTATTCACTAGTAGTACGGTCTCAATATATATTATAATCTCTTAAGTTCCACACTTTTGAATTAGATGGCATCTAATTTTTCGTAGTCGCACAAAAAGTCAATGCTGGCGGTGAGGATGGAACGCAGTACTAAAAAGCATAGGTGATTATTCCAAACCATGCACAACTGCTCCAACAACTGCTTATGAATTTTTGGTGAAATAGTGGATATTATAATCGTGTTATAAGTGTTCGTTACAACATCTTCATTTGAATAACGAAATTATACAACAACCGCACTTTTTCTGATTTTAAACAATAACATTTTTAACACTGACTTTTGCTGATATTTTTTGTAATAGTCGTATTTTTGTTAGAATATATACCACTGGTATCAGAAAGTATAATTTGCACTGTATTTAGCAATGTCAGATTGATATTTGTTTTTAGTCTTGAAATCACTTATTTCACTTCAAATTATACTTTTAATTATGCACTATTGTTGGGGATAACACTGTCACATGATATTTGGCTAATATTAATTGTATATTTGAAGAAATTACTTGCAAATAATCAGAGATAATATTTATAAACTTTAAAATATGCAGAGCCTAATGTTTACAAGATGACAGCGCCATCTGTCCTATGTCTATATATCTATAAACAAAAGCTCTGCCGAACCCCTGTATTCAGAAGGAGATGACAAAATTATTTTATAGGGAATATGACTACGCAAATGAATCGCGACACCGCCTCCACCCTTACCCGTGCGGTCGTTTCTGATTAGTATATAACCAGGAAGGGCGTATGTGGTAGATGGCAAAGCAGGTTTTAACCACGATTCGGATATGAGTATAGCTTGGAGATTAGGCTCAGAAAAAGAGTCGAGTAAATCGGTATGATGTGCCGGCACACTTTGCGCATTAATGTGGCATATGTTAAAGAAATTAGATTGTAACAATTTATCACATAATAAGTTTTTAATACTGATGTTATCATTGAAAGAAGAGTCAGCAGAACACAAAGATAAACTACTACTATCACATGCTGAATGAAATGAGTCGTCGTCTGAGGGCATTGAGTGTATATAATAATATATATATTAAATGTATAATTGTAAAAATAAAAATATGAATTGAAATAAAAATATGCAATATAAGTAAAATATTAAAGTAAGACAAATATAAAAGCCAAAAACGCTTTGTAATTTATTTACCTGCCGGCTCGCTGTAACAAATATTATTTATAAAAACACGAGACTTAGTGCATATTATTTACATATACAGTCTGGTGAAACAAAACGCAAACATTATTCTTTATTTCTTTATTCTTTATTGTACACACACAGGAAAAAAAAATAGCAGTAATAAAATAAAAGTAATGTACAAGGGCGAGCTTATCTCTAAAAAGAGATTTCTTCCAGCAAACCTAGAAAATGTTATAGGATAATTTGGTCATTAGATCAGCCATACATACGTGTACGAGAAAAGAGAAGAAAAAAAAGGGAAAGGAAGACATTAAAATTATATAAATATTAATAAGTCGCACTATAAGAAGGAATAAACATACACAAATATATAAATATATAGACATACATAAATTGTACATAAATAATATATAAGGTTTCGGTTAATATATAATTGTAATACATATATATGTATAATAATACGTCAGCATTGTGAAAGGTAATATTTTTTTAAGCGGCTTTTAAATATACCAATGCTAGCGCTGTCACGCAGTTCGTGTGGTAATGAATTCCACAATCTAATAGCCGACACAACAAAAGAGTTTGAGTATGCCTGCCCAGAGTGTACAGGAGTCCGTAAGACTAATCTATTTTGGGATCGAATGTGTACTTCTGTCGGATGGAGAAAATGGAAACGTTCGCGGAGATAGGAAGGTGCAGAAGGATTATGCAATATATTGTATAAAAGACTGAGAACGTGTACGTTAAGTCGTAGTTGAAAGGGCAACCATTTTAACTGTTTACGGTACTGTGATATATGGTCGAACTTTCGCAAACCAAAAATAAAGCGAATGCACACGTTCTGGAGACGTTCCATTTTGCTAAGCAATTCGACAGTGGCATCGAGAAAACAAACATCTGCATAATCAAGAAGAGGTAAAAGGAGCGTATTGGATAATTCGACCTTCGTTTTGAATGGCAGAAAACTTTGAAGACGCCTCAAGGAGTGAATTGCCTCGTAAATTTTGTTACTAACGTGCTTAATGTGAGAAGACCAAGAAAGGTCACTGTCTATGTAAACACCCAAATCCTTTACAGTTTTAACGCATGATATTATATCTCCATTATATACTACTGACGGTATGTGCGTTGTATCTAATAAAATCACCATATATTTGTTGCCAATAATGATGGACTGTGATTTTTTAGCATTCACGAGCAGACCATATGCCTTAGCCCATTCACAAATGTCATCGAGATCCGTATTCACCAAGGAGATGACGTTATCTATGGATCGGAGTTCGAAGCTGCTGCTGAAGAAGCATAGAGATGGAAGTTGCAAGAGAGTACTTTTGTCAATGAATTAATGAAAACAGAAAAAAGTAAGGGAGAGAGAACGCCACCTTGAGGGACGCCAGCAGTCAATTCGCACCAGGTGATTCCATCCAGATGAACGCACTGCCTGCGGCCCCTTAAATATGAATCAAACCATTCTAATACCAGTGGAGATACGTTAAAAGAATCAAGGACGCCAAGGAGGATATCGAAGTCAATAGAATTGAAAGCGTTGCTGAAGTCTAATAAAGTAAGGATTGTGAGCTGTTTATTATCCTTAGCAAGGTGAATGTCATCTATAACTTTGAGTAAGGCAGAAATTGTACTATGCGCAGGACGAAACCCCGACTGAAAGGGAGATAGTAAGTTGTTACTGTATAGATAGAAAGAAAATTGTTCATGAACAACATTTTCTAAAATTTTGGATAATACGGGTAGAATAGAAATGGGACGAAATTCGTTAAAAGAGCTAGGATTATTGGTTTTGGGAAGGGGAATTACACGAGCATTTTTCCAGGCAGACGGGAAAGAACAAGTGACCAAAGAATGATTGATTATGTGAGAAATTATGGGCACGAGCTCGTTAATTATCAGTCGAATCATTTGTATGCAAATATTGTCATCACCGACTGCCATGGAGGAAATGGAAAGGATAGATTTTGTAACGTCACACTGGCTAATGATTTTGAAGTAAAATGGTTCACAGTTGGGTTTAGACTGGCGGCGATGATTATCAAGAGTAAAAGCTTTGATACTGTCAGCAACGGAGACAGGAGGCGAAGAGAAATGCTGGTTGAGCGCATTATAGTCCAAATTAGGAGGACAATTTGAAAAAGACGATTTGCCAATACCCAATGATTTAAGAAGTCTCCAAGTCTGAGCTGAGTTACAGCTGTGAATGGATTCATGAATATGGCGTCTCTTTGCATCTCTACACATCCGATTACACCTATTCCGCAGCTTTTTATAGGATAATAAGTTATCCTCAGATGGAAACCGCTTGTATTTCCGTTTGGCCTTATCCCGTCTCGCCATAGTATTCCTTATATTTTGAGATAACCACGGAGCTGGGAGATGTTTGACCTTCACTTTTCTAATCGGAGCGTGCTTATTGTATAGTTCAAGTAAAATTGAATTGAAGTTTGCGATCATATTATCCACCGAGCTACAATCCAATACGCTGGACCATTCAATCCCTGCAACATCTTCCTTTAGCGTTTCCAGGTTTATCCCCTTAAAATTACGAAGGTCGAGAAGTTTAGATTTAATTTTGGGAGACTGTAATTTATATGATAAAAATATGAGGTCATGGTAAGAGAAGGGAGAGGTAAACTGGCCAAAATTACAGACTTTTTCAGAATTTGAGACAATCATAAGGTCTAAAAGGGTGGGTGTGCTATTAGGAGGATAGTGAGTGGGTTTGAGAGGAAGTAAGTTAAGATTAAATGAGGAAACAATAGAGGACAGTTTATGAGCACGTGAATCATTCTTGAGAATACAGGTGTTAAAGTCACCAAGAATTATACAATTTTCATAAACAGGACAAAAGGACTCAAGGATGGATTCAAGCTGCTGGAAATAGTCCACCCGAACAGAAGGTGAGTAAAATACGCCAATTAAGAGCTTAGAGTTGTTAACAATAATCTCAATAAACAAATATTCCGCGGAATCAATAACAGTGGCATCGGATTTACTTAGGATATTGCTAGGGATGTCACGCCGCAAATATATGGCTACGCCTCCCCCACGCCTTCCCACTCTATCATTTCGAAGAAGGTGGTAACCAGGTAGACAACACATTGTTGAGGGCAGTGACGATTTCAGCCAAGATTCTGATACAAGAATAATATCAATACATTGGTTGTCAAAACTGTCCAACATATCATTATAATGGGCTATTATGCTTTGAGCATTAATATGTGCTACTTTTAGGAATTTGTTATGTCGGCTAAAAGACAAATAGAGTTGATCACGAAGCTTTGGTGGTTCTGTGTCGATATCGCTATTTGCACTAAAATATTCATCCGATGATGTATCATAAAAGGAATCGTAATTACAAATATTTGACGTATCCATATATGTAATAAATAATATATATAATAATATATGTAAAAAAATTATATTAAAAGAAAAAAAAAAAATTAAATGTTAAAAAAAAATATTAAGTATTACGAACAAGACTAGTATTATTAAGTAAAGTATGAAATAACAAAGATGTATAGGATAAACATAGTGATTACTTACTCAGATATGTCAGTAATGACAACTAATATCTAGGACATCTGTCAGAATGAAAGGTGACAGAATACAAGGAAAACTAATTCTAATATATTCTATTTGCTCAGCAAGTACAACTAAAAATTTAAAATAAGATTATATACATACTGTGATTTATGAATTACTGTACTACCTACATAACAACAAAATAACAAAAAAACGGCATCATATAAAAATAACGGCCAATGGTAATAAATACAGAAATCTAAAGACTGTAATGCAAAGGTAATAAGAAATAAAAGGAAAATTAAGAAAATAAATACAATCACAGTAACTTTTCATTTGTTACTTGGCCCCTGACGCCTTGTGGTCATCGTCGCAGCTTTTTTGGTGGGTTTGTAAGTGTCTGCTGTAGGTTTACTTTGCGCCGAATCATTAGTCGGGAACTTGGTGATTAATGGATGCAGCTCTGACTTCAGTTCAATCTTGCGCCGCGACTGATCCGGTAGTAAAATAACCACCTTCCCTTCAGATGTCCAACATTTATTCATGCCAAAATGCTTTCTAGCCTCAGTAAATAAATCATGTCTAGACTTAATGAGGAATTCAGACATTGATGTTCTGGTACCCTTCAATAAAGTTTTCTTACTCCACACTTCATTACGTGCAGAATAACTATGGAAGCGAACCAGAATAGGCCGAGCCTTTGCTTGCCTACTACCAAGACGATGGCAGACAGAAATATCAACAGAGCATGAATCCGTCACCCTTAACTGATCATGTAGTATACTTGTAACACAATCTTTTACACTTTCATTTGGAGACTCAGGAACACCATGAAGTAATATGACCTTCCTCCTGGAAGTTGTTTCATGCCGATCCAATCCCAAGGAGAGGAGTTCAATCTGGGATTTTAATAAAGTGACAGATTTCCATATAAATGTCTTGAAGTCATGGTACTCACGGTTCAAGGCAGTGATATCCTGTTGCCTGGAAGGGGAGCTAGACATCTGATGCAGACTTTTCTCCATATCTCCCATCCGTGACTGGAAAAGCTGGACAATGTCTTCCATATTGGTGCTTAATTTTGAGTAGAGGTCCATTTCAAAGTGAATAATCTAATTATGTGATTGATGTGCAATATAGTGAAAGTGGGATTAGGCCCAGAGCAGGGTTGGAGTCTGGCTAACCTTTAACAGTAATTAATACATATAAAAGTAAGTAATTATTAATTTTAAATAAATAAATCAATGGAGCAAAATCTTAAGTGTTGTATGTATGACTACCCTCTAACATTAATACATAAAAAAGAAAATTATCACTGTCTCAACTTGCTATGGATGTTACGTCAAACAGTTAGAAATTGAAATGTCAATCGGTATGACACTGACATACGACATGTGTCAAAATGACATATGTGACGACAACTATAAAATAATATAAGTTTATAACATTACAAAATTAAAACGGTAATCAGAATATAAACAATATTAGAAGGTATTAAATAAACATGCAATTATTGAAACATCTGAACGGTACTTTGGGAAATAAGATAAGTGTAGGTAATGTGGTATTAAGCTAAGAGAGAAGATAATGTTTACTACTATATCGATCGAGCAACAACAGCTGGTGTATAACAGATTAAGTGATGCAAGTTTGGGATCAGAATGAGAAAATGAATAACAAAAGATACACACTTTAACATTAATAACGGCAGTTCATTTCTTAGTCGCTCTCGTAGACCGATGATACTTGGGGGCGGCAGATGTAGACCTACTACTAGAGGCTGCACTGTCCACAACCGGGGCTACAGAAGATTCCATTGGCTTCTGCATAGCGATCAGCTTTTCTAAATCCTCTAGCATGAATATTTTAACCCGCGAATTATCAGGAAGCTTCACGCTTATGACACCATCCAAAGTCCAGACTTTATTGATCCCGAAATGCTTCCGAGCTTCAATAAACAGCGACTGCCTCATGCGTGTCAAATACTCGGACAATAAATACGAGCTGCCCTTAAATAGAGACTTTTTTGCCCAGATTGTTTGATGAAGTGATGGATCATTGAACTTAATGAGAATAGGGCGACAGCGACCCACTGACGGAGCTCCCCGGCGATGACAGACTACCAGTTTGTCTGGTGTTAATTCTTGAATTCCAAGATGCTTGGTTATGACAGTGACTGTAGCTTCCCGAACACTCTCATTTGTCCTTTCATCTATACCACCCAAGAGCAGGAACTTTTTTCGGTGACGATTTTCAATGGCATCCATGCCTGCTATTAGATGACTTATTTGCTGCCGCAATAAACTTACAGAGGTATTGATTTGATCACGGAAACACCGGAACTCTTCATTCAGATGCTTCAGACTGACTTCGCCCGCTGGAGCTTTTAGTTGCGCCTCAAAGGTGTTAAGACGATCGTTAAGTGTCTTCTCCAGGATGGCTTGTGTTTTGAGTACATCCAGTATGCTTGCCATTGTATGAATGTTTTATATAGTATAATAGTGAAAAGTGGTTCAGCGGTTTCTTGCAGGTAATTAAATTACAACTATCACAACATAAGTATGTCTATGTTAAATATAAAAATAATTTTGTAAAAAAAATAGAGTTTTACTATTTATAAATAAATAAAATTGTAGTGATAACAAAACTCAGCTGTTACTTTTTTAACCGCCTACCCGCGAAATTTGTTTGTATTTTCTAAGTACTCTACACAATACTCACCAGGTCGTCTGCTTCAGAAACTTCTGTTGTGTTAGAGTGCTGGTGATGACCCTCACCTATCACCAAGTTGTTTTGAAATCAGTAATTTAGTCTGAAAATTTTCAAATTTCGGTTTCAGCCGTCGTTCTTTCATACTATCTTCAGTTTTCACACTAGACTTTTATTGTTCTAGGGTGCCTACAGTATCCCCCGTCTAGTAGCGTAAAACCTAGGTCGGATTTCGGTCAATTTTCATCCTAAATTTCGGTCTAAGTCCGAAAAATCATAAGTTCCGTCTAAAATGTTGCTACCCCACCTAGAATTTCCCTGACATCCCATCACCACAACGCCCCGTCGGTTACAATATTTGGCTGTTGATGCGAATAGACTTTCAGAGCGTTCGACCTTATTGACATATAATCTATATCTATACTAATATTATAAAGAGGAAAGATTTGTATTTTTGTCTGTATGCTTGTATTGAATAGGCTTTGAAACTACTGGACCGATTTGAAAAATTCTTTCACCATTAGGAAGCTACACTATCCCTGAGTGACATTGGCTATATAATATTTCCAAAAAATTAGGGATCCTTACTAACTCCAATATACATTATTGGAGTTAGTATCAAAGTGTAAAAAAACTACACAAAAAATACCTAACACCCGTGCGCTGCAAAAAGTATTGATGATAGAATAAAATGATGTACCACGACTTTATTGAACACATTATTATCTACAAAAGTGCCGAGACAGCATGTCTTATAGTTATGTTACAATAAGTGTGTTTAAAATTTATAAATTTAATTGAAATGCCGCCGCTAGAATAAGCCCTTTATTTATATCTTGCTATTAATCCTTATCGAAATAAATTCACTTTAACTTCATATTCACGACTGGTTCAATATTTTTACATAACTTTTTGAATTATTCAATTTGGACATTCCATTCGAAAGATATCACGTTAAAAATGTACGTATTAAAAAACAACCCCGCTCGATTAGCTTAAATCAAATGTATGCAGTGTGGCAATGTAGGGGTGTCACGAGAGTAGGTGGGGTACGAGAGGGGATACTTGCTAAAATAAGATAATCAGGGAAGATAGCGATAACAGTTACTTCGTCAAGAATTGCTGCACCTCTATTAAAGGATGAAAAAACTGCTCATTCTTCAAACATCCGCTATCCGTAAATCTTGAGCAACAATCTACATGTTCTATCCACAAAAATGGGCCTATTGGTAAATTACTACAAGATTCCTTTATGGGATGAATGCACCATAAGCCATAGAGCACATATAGAGGCCGTGGATAGTACCTTAAAGGATCTTAGAAATACCTCTGCTCTCGTGGGCGGCATTACTTTTGTGTTTGCTGGAGATTTCCGACAGACTCTCCCTGTCATTAAGCATTACCTACAGTACGCGAGCAGATATCATAAAAGCATGCTTGAAACAGTTTCCCTTGTGGTCTTTAATTGAAAGTTTAAAATTAGGGACGAATATGAGAGCTCATCATCACGGAATTACAGATAGTGATTTCCTACAACAACTGTTCAACCTTGGAGAAAGAATTTTTCCCATTTCAAATTTATATAAAAATTGTGATAGCTTTCTTAGTGAATCCTTATGTCAAATCGCCCATAATTTAGAAATTTTGATAGATGCCGTATACCTTGACATCGAGAATTTGATCCAAAAAGGCTTTCATTGCTTATTTTCTAGGGTAATAGTGTCATTTAGGAATGATACTGTTAACGAAATAAACAAAAATTACAAATTAACTGATACCGTGGCTAATATCGAAGACGCAGTTCAGTTATTACCGGCATTAATGAATTCACTAAACCTTTCTGGACGTCAATTGGTGTGGTCAATCTTTCTTAACGTCAATTGGTGTGGTGGCACCACACCAATTGACGTTAAAAATCGGAATTCCAATCGTGCTTTTTAAAAATTTAAACCCACCCAACATCTGCAATGGGACGAGGCTACTTACTAAGGCATTGAAGGACAATGCAATTGTAGCAACAATTATCACCGGTCCGGCAGCTAAGCTAACTAGCTCATATATCAAGAATACCGATAATCCTAACTGATCTGCCAGTAACATTTAAACGGCTTCAATTTCTGGTTAAAATATAGCTATATAGCATTCCACTACTGAGCACGTATCTTTAATCGCGTGATAACCTATAGTCCACGTGGGCGAAGCTGCGGGCGGTAAGCTAGTATTATATATTCTTAAATTAAAACATCGTTTTTTCTGAAGTGTACCTAAGTAGTCACAACCTCGTTCTTGTTGTTAGTTCCATCCAGTCGTTTCGTATCCCATTACACAGTAAAATTGTTCAATACTCACCAGGTCCTTCTGAAACGTTTGTTGTCTTAGAGTGCTAGTGATCGCCTCCCACCGTCCTGCACGTCGTCGTTTGTCTGGATCACCAAACTTTTCTGAAATCAACAATTTAGTCCGAAAATTTAAAAAAAATGTCGTCTTCATACGTCGTTCTTTCCCCTTTCATACTATCTTCAGTTTTCACCCGAGATTTTCATTGTCTATTCTCTATTCTATCTATTCATCACTAGTTATAGAACAATGAAATAGTACTAGTTTCATCACGGATTCCGTAATCCGTCATGGAGATCCGCACGCCCCGGGGAGGCCTGCGGATACTGCCGGACTCCTACCGGCTAAAACCCCTTGGTGTCCTCCGCTCGCTACTGGCGCCGGGGTTACGGGATCGACATTGCAGTCCACCGTGACTCCGGCAGCGCGGGCTCTGCAGCCCCCTCCGTGAGAGGCGCGCGCGGACACCACTTGCGCCTACTCCTAGACTCACCCTCCTTAGGTGACGGCAGACGCCCCCGCCTCTGCCGCCGAGAGGCTCTGGGTCGGTGGCGATGGGCCGGACTCGGCCTCCATCGCCTCCGTCTCCTCTGCCAGTGCGCGGCTTCCTCGCGAACAATTCTTACCGCTGCCCACTGAGTGATTCGCCGGACGACCCGCCGCTGCGCAATAGACGCAATGCGACGGACTGGTGCAACCAGCAGCCTTGTGGCCCTCTCCACCGCAGCGGAAGCAGGCTGACTGCGGTCCACCGCCGACTTACACTGTGCACCCACGTGCCCCTGCAGTAGGCAGCGGTAACAACGCATGGGTTTCACACACAGACAATGCCACGTGGTTCCGTGGAGATCGTCTTGATCAGAAGTACAACGGTGGCGGCTGGTTGTTGGTCTCCAAGTGAATGTTCCAGTCTATTGATATCGTCTGTATACACGGGATACAGCAGACTGACTCGTCTGGAACCTACAGCTCACCATGCCAAACGCCTAACGCTTAACGCCGGTTTTCTGCCGAGGTGTGGTATTTCCCGGTTCGAGCAGCCCAATCGAGCTGAACAACCACGTGTGGTCGTATAGCTTGCTCTACCACTTAAAACTTATTTGTTGATGAGCTAAATATTTATGGATTTGCTCGCGAGAATTCATAATATATTGCGTAACATATTTTAGATAATTCCGAGCACCAACAAAATTGGTACC